AAAGCGAGCACTGACGGGTGTGCGTGTTTATCAAAAAAAAAAAAAAAAAAAAACAGGAGGAAACGAAATCCTCTTCCTGTGAGTTAGCTTCTGGAGTGTATAGGTACCGGCAGAGCCATACGCGCGTCCCCCATTAAAAATGCGATGTGGCAAAAAAAATGTTTTTTGCGGCGCCCGAGTAAGAGTAGGCCCCGAGGAAGATGAGAAGCATCGTCGTCGCGCTGTGAGAGAAGGGAAAATAAACGCACAAGCCCAGGCTTTTATGGGGCTTTAATTGTAGCCCGGCGGTGGTGCGCTCGCGTGTGCGTATATATAAGGGCGTACTAAAAAGAGTCTCGCAGATGTACGGGGCAAACGAACCAGATCTCCTCGATGACGGCACCGGTGCTATTAGTTGAAATTCTCGTCATCAATGTCGTGGCTTTGGGAAAATTTGAAGAAAAAAAACACGCGATGCCCTCCCACCCCCGAACAATGGAACAAGTAGACAGAACACTCAACAATGAGCCTATATACTCCGTTGTTGTAACGTATATGTACAAGGTATAGCTGCAAGTGGTATCTTTGACTTGTGAGCACCATCGGGTACTTAAAAGAGCTACGGTAAATATTAATTAAGCTATGTGTACGAGCTTGTTGTCCGACTCGTGTATGCAACCTGCGCTCGTGCATGTATAATTGCCAGTACATATATACATACACACACGTACGCTATTTCCGATCTCTCTCGTTCGCGCGTAATGAGCTTTCCCCTCCTCTCGCCCTCGTATGTTTATGCTGTTGTTCGGAAATATACGCGGCTGTTTAACGGCACGTTTATTTTAGATATACGTATGGCGTGCAGGTGGCGTATTCTCCCGCTTACGCTGGTAATTTCCAATGATCCCAATAATCGGTGTCTATAGGTGTACCCACCGATAAAAAAAATAAAAAAAATAAAAAATCGGCTTGGAATCGTCGACTAACTTACCGATACTCCATAAGACTCATCTCATCTCTTCTGTATGTTTTCTTACGGTCTGCAACTATATTAACCCCGGCTTGTCGTGAAACTTATAACGCGTCCATAGTGTTTCCCTTGCGTCACTTGCGCGAGATGTGGAGAAAACTCGAGAAAACCATACATCTCCTCTTTTCTCTCGATCAAACAGCTTGTACACGGGAATTTAGAGGGTCACGTGGGATTTCTTTTCGCGTATAGTTACATGTCATTACCTATGCGTGCAGCGGTACAAAAGAGAGCGAGAGAAACACCTCGAGTTCGCGCTACTGATTACACGGTGACGCGCTGCTTAGGTATTCTTTAGTGCAGAGGTATAGGCGTTCGCGGCCTTACATGCTCTCATTACATACCCTTCGGGGTAAAACCGCGCGTGCGCCCGTGCACTCTACAAGTGTACGTACGTATGTATACACTTTGTACCAGTGCAAGAAGTAGGTGTACCAAGTATAGATATTATGTTACGTACAGAGAAACCGAGAGTAAGTAGGAAGGATATCGAATATCGAGCGTAATGAGGAGATGGGCGCGTATTCAATTGCCCAAGTTTAACGATCGTTGGCTTGCACTTGGGAGCTGATGAATACATTAAAAAGTTGCATTTCCAGTGTATGCTAGGGGATCGGGTATCGTCAAAATGGTGCATCAGGCCCTTGCGGAAAAAGTTTACTTATCGTTTTCATACAGCCTCGCGATGGAACGGACTCGCAAATATAGATTTAATTGGTACACGTCGTGGTGAGTTTTTGGCGGCGAGTAACGCCATCACGGTCTCGTGTGATCTCGCGTAGGTACAACACGTAATATATGCCACGGTGTGCAGCGGGTATACTTGTCCAACTATCGAGCCGGTTGGATAAATATTCGCGCTCAAAGTGTGTCTCGGTACGCCGGCTAATCCGAGAGATCTTCCGAGAGACTGCCTCGAGTGGAGACGCCTTCCTCCTCCCCAAATCTCATTCTCTTCTGTCTCTTCGTTTCGTACAGCTATTTGTCATTCGATCAAAGTATTTCCGTCCGTCTTTTCTGTACATCGTGTGCACTTGCGCGTCGTTTGTCAAAAACTCTGTTGTCCTGTGATGGGCCAGGGGTAAAAAGTTTCGCGCTGATTCTTTTACGACTTTGTTTATCAGTGCAAAAGCCGGTTAAGTGGACACGAGATCCTGACAGGCAAGCAAATTAAAAGCGTTTAACGCCCAACTGCAAGCGTAATCGCGGCGAGTGGTCGTACGCGCAAGAGTCGCCTACAGTCACTCGGAGCTTTGGACCGTGGCCAGGGAGAGCTTTTCGAGACTCGGTGAAGAGCTTATTCAAGGCGAGCATTAAACGTGGGCCAGACGTATGTACGTGATTTATAGGAAAATGGTCGATTGACACATCACTTGGGTATACTCTGTGTGCGTTTACTTTGAGCGCAACCAGCGACGATAATAGTGCAGTCCGACTATCTTTGCGTCTGTGTCGAAGAAAAACGTGAGATGGGTCCAATATATGCTTTGCTATTGTTTGACCTCTGCGCCGAATAAAATTATACCTACCGCGCATCAAAGCGACCAAAAGCTACAGGGGAAAACAGTGTTCTTTTTATCTACTCGTCATCCCATCGCTTTCCTCCTCCTTCTCTTGTTCTTCACGTTACGATCGTCCGCGTCTCGTTGTCCGACGTCTTGGCAACGACACATTGGACGCGTCGGGCGCTCGTGCTGTCTTCGACAATGTTGTTCATTCGTTTGGACCTCGTGCGTGGGTGGGTGCATACATTGTATTCGAGTGCAAGCAAACATGCGATCGACCGGGTGTGGAGCTTCATCGTCTATTATCGGATTGGGAGGATGTTTGCGTTGTATTGTCGCTATGAGCTTGCGGTCCGACTTTTGTCCCAAATGGCATTGTTACAGTTTTAAAAGAAATAATTTTAAAAACCGGTAAAACAACTTTTTTCTCGTTTTTTTCTTTTCTTTTTTTTTTTTTTTTTTTTTTTTTTTTTTTTTTTTTTTTTTTTTTTTTTTTTTTTTT